CCTACCTGCAGGGGTTGAGGCAGAAGGAAGGATTGCCTGAGCACAGGAGGTCGAGGCTATGTTGAGGCATGATTGTGCCACTGCACTCTGGCCTGAGCAACAGAGTGAGATCCGACTAAACAAAACAAAACAAAACAAAACAAATCATCAATGTGCTGGAAGTGGCACACTCAGAAGGGGCATGGAAACTCTGTACCCTCCATTTCAAACTTTTGTCTTATGCATCTCTTTGATTTGGCTATTCCTGAGTTATATCCTTGATAACAAAACTGTAAATCCTAAGTATCAGGCTTTCTTGAGTTCTGTGAATTATGCTAGCAAATTATCAAACCAAAGTTGGGGAAGTCATGGGAACCCCCAAATTTGTAGTCTGCTAGGCAGAAGGTCAGGTAATTGGGAATACCCAATACCTGCAGCTGGTATCTAAAGTGCAGCAATCTTTGGGAATGAGTCATTAATATGTGGGGTCTGTGCAAACTCCAGACAGAACTGAATTCCTGGACATTCAGGTGCTGCCCAAGAACTGTTGGAACAATATAATTAATAACCTCAGAAAGACACCCACATTAAAACCAACTATGCTGGTGCTTAGAGGCTATTTCTGTTTGATCTAATCATTAAATCTACCTCTGTCACCAATTCAGAGCACTGCTTGCAGCTTTTGGCACTAGTCAGAAATCAGGCCCTATGGACAGATCCACAAGTACGTGGTAGAATTTTTGAAAATAGTTATTTAAAGAAAAAAGACTAAACAACTAATTTAACCTGCACCTGCTAAAGAGAACACAGAAGTAAAAAAATATGAAGTAAAAAATGATTTTCTGTAATTAGTAGTTTTAGTTGTGATTTATCATAGTCCCCACAAGAGTCATGAATTACCTAAAGAGTTGATATGCAACTATTCTCTTTGGATAGCAGACATTGTTAGATGACAAGATCTGCCAACTAGCGTTCTCTTCAATATGTACTCCACACGCTAATGGACCCAGGCAATTACAATCCCTCCGGTTTACCAATTTCTGATTTGTCAAACTAAAGTCATAAGAGACAGAGATCTCAAAAAAAAAAAAAGTTAGGCCAACACTCGGTAAGCAGTCCATCATGACTGACTGGTCCATCCCTGCACTGATCTCTCTGTGGCAGAAATACACTCTCCAGTCAGGGGAGAGAAGACTGGTGTTCAGGGTCCTAGATAGGGTCACTGCCCTGCCCAACTCCACAATCTCTGGCCCATCCTTGTGAATGGTGTTCCCTGAAGTTGGACAATCTTGTGGGCCTGCTTCTTCCCTACCCATTGTTCCCCAGTTAGCATTTTCCAACCCTTCCCAGCTAGACCACCAATGGGCATCCTTTCCTGCTGGTCCATAATACCCTACTAACCATCACTCTGCCCTCCCAAAGCCCTGCTTCCCTACATATACTCCTCCCCGACAACTGAACCACCCACCAGACTTTTCCAGAGACTATTGTCTTTAAACTTTTCTTTCATAAAAAGTTAGAAAACACTCAAGCAGAATTCTCCTTACCAAGGACATAAGCTATAACTAACTCTTTTGTGTAACTGACTGAACAAGTGACTAATTATTTCAAAGAAAAACTAATTTGCTGAGAGGAAAAGAACCATGAAAACATTTTTAAAAGTGAACACAGCATTCACCCTATTATTCCTCACGCTTGAATTCCACCTACTAAGAAGACAGAAAATGTTACCACTACCCTCTCCTCAGAGGGCCTGAGACTTCCAGCATGTCCCTGATCTTGCTTCCTAGGGCCCACATTGCTGGTGTCCCAGAACCCTCCCTGTTGTGCTATTCCTAATTTCCACCTTCTGTTTAAAATACACTCACCGGCCGGGTGTAGTGGCAGTGGCTCAAGCCTGTAATCCCCAGCACTTTGGGAGGCCAAGGCGAGAGAATTGCCCGAGCCTGCAGGTTCGAGACCAGCCTGGGCAACATGGTGAGACCTCAACTCTACAATAAAGAAATTTTTAAAAATTAGCCAGGCATGGTAGCACGCACCTGTAGTTCCAGCTACTTGGAAGGCTGAGGCGGAAGGATTGCCGGAGCCTAGCAGGTTAATGCTGGGGTGGCTGCAAGCCTACCTCTGCACTCAATCCTGGGCGGCAAAGTGAGACTCAAACTCAAAAAAATAAAAATGCACTCACTAAGTCATAATTAAATAGATATAAAGCAAGTACTTAATTGAAAGCAAATTTGTTTCACAGCTATAAAAAATAAGAAATGTGTGTCCATTGTGGTTATTTCCACAGAGCTGTTCTGTCTATAGGTACACCTGGGTTTTCCTGTTCAGAATCCAGGGCAGGTCACTGGAAAATGGAAACATATAGTTAAGCATTTTGCATAGGTGTCCTTCTCCAAAGCAGAAGATATCCCTATTAGCATATCTTAAAAACCTGCAATGATAAAACCTCAACTCCTGTTTGAATGCAATTTGGTCACTTTCAGAAATATTTTGAGGAAAAAAGGCCAGCTCTCCTATAAAGTGTCCATATCCTCTACTAAACTAAGGAGCCTCCCATCCCTTTCCTCATTAATAACTTTACTTGCTTCACTATTCAAGTCTCCTCTGAAAGACTATTATGACAAAATGTTTGAGTACAGAAACCAAGAATATAGAATACCAAGCACCAAGGAGTCCATTAAACTCAAACTCTACTGGATGCCTACAATGACTTGTTTGAGAGAGCCAGTATAACTGAGAGAACAGGGATTAGTGCAGAGAAGGCCTGATCCTAATCCTGCAGCTGCCTGTACCTTGTTCTGTAACTTTAAACAAGTTTACTCACCTTTCTCAATTTCTGTTTTCCCACTAACATGATTGCTCTTCAACCTATTTTCGGCCTTAAAACATTGTCTTCAACTGGAATCTTACGGGAAAGCCCAATGTAACAGAACACTACAGTAACTTTTTGCAGAGTGGAGCAGTGGGGGAAATAGAAGGAAAACAGCAATACCTCCTCATCTCTGTCACAAGCATACTCCTGCAATGGCGCCTGAGAGGGCTCCTCAGAGTCTAGCCTGAAATAAGCGTCACACCAGGTATTCTAAGGTTTTACAAGGGTCTTACTTTTTCCTGTTTCTTCCTAAACTGGAGGAAGAATTAACTGCATTCAATATGGTAAATGCTATAACTTGAGACTTGTTCAGAATCAAAATTATTACACATGAACTAACCACATTAGGCAAACACTGCATGGAGTTCAAACCCTTCATGAATGATAGCGAAAAGCTATAACCAAACTCTGCTTCTCGCGCAAAAGGAATCTGCTACTAAAACAAGAGGGGCAAGTCTTTCAATACACTGTCTCCTGGACTAAAAGGCAGTTAGTTAGAAGGGCAATAGCTACAAGATGCTAAACACTCCTTGAAAATGAAAAATCCTACACTTTGCAGTGGTGCTAGCTGCGATTCTTGGTCAAACATCAGATTTGGTCTGAAACCACAGGCCTCAATGATAGAATGACTTCCAAGTCACCATGTCCTGAGGTTGCACCCTCCAGCAGAGCAGGGCAGAACAAAATCAGAGAAGTTTCCCAACGCTATGCAATCTAAGCTTCCATGCTGTAATTCAGCCCCAAACCCAACAACACAGCACAGTTCAAAGGACACTTTTGAGCAAGGCCAAGCCCTTTAAAGAAAGCAAAAGGAGTCATCGACATACCTGCCTTTGCATGCAATCAGGTTAGTATCCAGGTGCAGGGCATAGGTGACTTATTTTGCCACAAGAGGTGCTAATCACCACCTCAACACTGATTTACTGAGCTTCCCTTTCCTGATATATGGTATTTAAAGAAGGTCTCATTTGCACACATCTTAAAGATTTGGCATTTTTCCTTCCTGTCATTTTCTCCTTTCAGCATATCACTACTTCAAAGAACTAGAGTCTGAATCACTTCGAATCTTTTCTCTTATTATTTCAATGCAGTCGGCCTTTTGTATCCATGGGTTCCACATAGGAAGATTTAACTAATCACAGATCAAAAATATTTGGAAAATAAATTAAAAATCATCATACAACAATAAAAAATATATGTTTTAAAAAATACAGTATGTTAACTATGTACATAGCATTTACATTGTATTAGGCATTATAATGGATCTATAAATGCCTCTGGAATAGCTAGAACTACAGGCCTATGCCCCGGCACACTATGGCCTTTTATATAAGGGACTTGAACATTCATGAATTTTGGTATCCATGGGGGTCCAGGAACCAGTGCCCCAGGATACCAAAGAGTTGTAAATTGATATGTTAAATTCTAGTTTGTAATTATTCACTAATTAAGTAGTCAAATTCTGTGGTAATCTCCTTTTTTCTGCTCCAAACAAAAAAGACTCTCCATCAGCTAGAAAGACAGACATAAGAACTAGTAAAAATAGATTTGAATTGAAGGACACTAACTCAATTAACCCTAGTCCATTGTGCAAAGAACTTCAGAACACTATCCCAACATTTAGGGAGAACTGACTTGGTTTACTGGTATCAACATCTGTAAACAGACACAGAGGTAATTGTAAATTATCAAGAGCTGGGGAAACAGGAGTTAACACATAATTACCTTTTTTTTCAATCTAAGTTATCACTTCTTCACCTCAGAAACAACTGGCAGCCGGTAAACAATTAACTCTCCTTACTACAGCACACACAGACTATCCCTGACTACTTCAAGTACCCATTCGACCATTCTGTTTTTCCCTCTCAGTACAGTATTCGATAAACTACCATAAACAGTTTATTATAAAATAGGCTTTGTTAGAAGAATTTGCCCAACTGTAAGCTAATGTTCTACCATTTATAGTAGGCTAGGCTAAGCTATGATGGTTAGGTGTATTAAATGCCTTTTCCACTTATGGCATTTTCAACTTACCATGAGGTTATCAGAGGTAACCCCATTGTAACTTGAGGCATATCGGTTTATCAAAACTGTAGCAAAATCAGATTACCTTTAAGTCATTTAATGCAATGCAAAACCACTTTACCTACAACTCTAGTAGCCAATGGCATCACCTGGCTTTCTAGGTTGCCCACCTGCCAGAAGAGTTTGTTCAAAAGCTCACAAAGTTTAAGAAACAAATCCACCAGTACCCCAAATTAAAGGCCTGCTCAGCTCCAAGAATCCAACTCACTTAAATTTGCAGATTCTTTCCCCACACACAATTAGTGGGCAATGTAGGAGTCAATGGCTTCTCCCTGTGTTCAAGTCCCCTCCTACCCACCCACCTCCTTTCAAAAATTAGAAAAGCCACCAGTCTCTGAACTGGCTGAAGAAATTTCAGCCTACAGGGTATTTTCATACTTGAGTTATAATAAACCATTGAAATGAAGATAGTGGACAGCTTAATAACCCATCAGATAAAGCCTTTTAAACCCAGCATTAGCATACAAGGTCCAAAATCCTTACCCTGGACCAAAGCCAAATTATTTATATATATAAATTCTCTCTTCCTTTGAAACACTCTTTAGCATGAAGGGTGGAGTCTATTGTCTGCCTGCTCCTAGCTGTTCACTTTAGTCATCTGCTTGCTACCTAAAAGACTTTCTGTTCACAGTCAAGTCAGAATTCAGTAATTCAGTACCAGGCTCTACTCCATCACCTTCACTCCCCCCAGGACTGCCCAGAAAGTTCTATTCAAGCTGGTTTTGACAATCCAACTACAAATGCAACTAAAATACTAGAACCTAAAACAGGTGACAAGTTCTCAATTTCTGATTCGTTTTTTCCAAACACTAAAATGTTTTATTTAGCATTTCTAATACTGAGTTTACCACAAAATAGCCCAAGCAACATGTAAGTCTCTCAACTGCCTGGCTCAAAGAGCCAATTCACTCAAAGAACACACTAGTCACTGTTGTGATGTTCAAAAGAAGAAAAAGCATATTCCTTCTGTTGTAGCCCACTGTGACATGGCTCAAGAGGGGTAAATCAAGGAGTCTTCATTGGGTCTCTCAAGTAGACAATCTGGTCAAAGTGAGGCTGAAAATTAACAGACTATTTATTAGAGATGAATGCCCCTTAATAGAAGGCAAAAGTTTATAACCCTTGGTCACATGCCAGCTCAAAGATGTCAACATAGTGGAACTGAGCCCCACAACGGTCATTTATCTAATGTAATCCACTGAATAAAACTGTAGCACCAGCACCTCAGCTGACTGTTATTAGTCATCAGGAGGACCAGACAAGAGTGGAACTAATGCAACATAAACTCTGCCTCCCTACAAAATACAACCTGAAACAGATTCTGATGATCATTTCTGTAGACTGACAGGGGCATATTGTTAATATCTGCTCAGCCAATCCTTCTACTTTAAGTTCATGCAGAAGTAGAAGCAAAGGAGGATTCACATACTGGTACACATTCAGAGTACTTAAGCAATTCAAACTCGCAACATATGAGACAAAATAAGGAAAAAGATGTGCCCTCAATTGAACATCTGAATTTTGAACACATAGCTTCAGATTTATCTGCCAGAAAAGACCCAAGTGACCAGTGTCTCCTCCCCTCCCACTCTCAGTAGAGTGACTTTTCGTAGTATACCAGTCCAATAGTACTTGCAAAAAATAGTAATTGATATGACCCTAGGAAAGGCAATGGAATTAAAAAGGAGCATCACTTTCTACTTCCTTCTCTTTCTGGCTCTTATTCTGCCTACCTATTCTAAGCCCATTTCCACTTCTCTGACCTAGTTTCTCTACTCTCCCCTTTTCTCACTAAAACTGTGGTTATTACTACCCTCCTATCCTTATCCCCCTCCCACCCCACATTGTGCCCCTTTCTTCCCAGTCCCTGGTACTTGCCAAGCTCATTCCAGCTAGTTTTTGCACTTGCAGAAACTACCAGGTTTCTCAGAACCTGGAGGGTTCCTCTCCTTATCTTTGCAGGGCTAGCTCGTTCTTGATATTTAAAATTCAAGTGTCACCTCCTCAGAAAGGGCTTCCTTCACTGCATCAGTCAGATACCTTTCACCACATCACTCCTACTTTCTTCAGTACTTGATATAAATCTGCTTTATTTGCTTAGTTATTATCAGACTCCCTTCCCACCCCACACTCCAAGGTAAGCTACATGAGAGGGTAGACCTTTTGCTCATGTTCACCTTCAAACACCCAGTGCCTAAAATATTGGCTAGCATTTAGTAGCCAGTCAATTGTTGAATGAGTGAATTTCGAACTTTTTATTCATTGGCAAACTAGGTTCCAAAACAATTTAGGTGAGAACAATAAAATTTTGCTGTATTTCTAAACATCTAAGCATGTTGTTACTTGCACAAACGAGGCACTAAATATTCTGTTTCATCAGGCCTAAAGGTCCTGGTAAATGGGATGGGACTTTCTTCCCAGCATTAGAAGAACACTCTGTGGGATGACAATTGTAGCAATATGCATATCAAGCTAAGTTACAGACAGGATTTACGGACACTTTCTAATCAAAGGACTGCTAAAATTGAAGCACGCTGTCTTAAAAAGTTCTTCAAAAAGCAATGTCAGATTCGACAGATTTCCAAAGAATATATAAACACCAAAAGGAAAATCATTACATTTCACGCTGAAATCCACATGACAGGCTAGAGGAGTGCTCCTTGATTTTTTTTTTAATCAACAGCATATCAACAAAGAGACCTTCTTTCCAATCATTCTTTGCTTTCTTCAAAGAATTTTTTCACATTCGTTATTGGTGTGTATTATTCTTTGAAACAAAACTAAACAGATCACATTGTCTCATTTAAGACCACCTATACACAAAGAATCAGCTAAATAAATAAGATGAAAATCAGCACAAGCTGAATGTGTCACTGAAGATTTGTGTGCCACACACAGAGAAAAAGATAAAAGAGCTATTGTCCAATTGTAGAAACAAAAAAGTAATATGGGGTTTTCTGTTCTCTGAAGTGCATCATGAAGAGTGAGTGGAGAGAAACAGAAATCCAGAATTAGCCTAACAATCATTTTGGAAAGAGTTGACATGCAAATTCCTCACACACAAAGTATTTAGAGCGAAAGACCTTGATTCCTGTGCTATGATGCCATTTAGGATTCCTTGCAAGGGCTTTGGAATTCCAGTATTCACAAAAGAAAATACTCGTTATAATTAAGAGCTACCAGGCATAGAGGGGTACTCCCAATGTGTCGGCCTGTATGAAGTACCACAAAGCTTGCAGCTAAAATCTGGGATAGAGGCCGAACACCAAATTCAAAAGAGGTAACCAAGGTCCTAAGTGCCATGAAAGGGGGAAAAGCAAACAAACAACAAACAAACAAAAACAAAAAACCACGACTGCTACTCAGCCACAGAGAGTCAAAGTGGAAGCGAGGGATGTGTGTATGAGGGGAGAATGACGGGTGAGGGGAGTGGGAAAAAAAATCCAATATATTTGTCACCCGTCCCACTTCCTATACAGATACAGGTAAAGCCTTCAGCCCCATTAACTCAGGCACAGATGGTTATCGTGTATAGCAAAGGTGCACAGAAAGGCCTTCAGGTCTGAGCCCCTTAATTCCAGGGCTGTTAATGATTAAAGAGAAGGATGGGGGTGGGGAGGGCGGAGAGAGCAGGAGATTCACCCACCACCTCCCCCTTGGACTCCTACCTCTCAGCGCTTACCCGGGACACAAGACGGAGTCTGCACTCCCTCCAGAGCAGCTCCAACCCCAGATCCCCAGGCCCCGGGTTGAGGGGTGCTGGCGGTGGGGAGGCAGGGACAGTAGGTAAGTTTTCTGAGCCCTGCGGCTGACACGCCACAGGCTTCCCTCACAGCCTCTGCTGCCAAAGGAGCTAGTCCAGACAAGGAGCTGATTTCCACTCCTCTCTCCCACCCCCCCTTCTCGAAGGTACCCAACCCCCGCCCCTTCATCT